AAGGTTGCTGGTACTTAAAGCACAAGTTTTCTTTTTTAAGTGCCAGCTTTCTTCATGTGTTCTGATAATGGCTGTACCCTTTATTATGCAATTTTTATATTTTGTAACGTTTAAGATCTATGAATAAACTTATTATTATTCAATTTTATTGTTATTATTAATTAAATGATATCCACGGCCGTTTACATAATATAAACTACTTCCAGGTAACCGATCAGCGCCTTGTATATATAAAACGGTATTTTGACCTTTTTCAGAGTTAAGATCTGTAGTATAGAGGTTAGCAGTCCTCTTGGTTGGTCCATGATAGTACTAACAAAATTTGATCTATACAAAGTATAAAACTGAGTGTGCCGTCGACAAATGCAGAGCAAATTAAACATAGTACGATCTATATTGAATGTGGTGAATACATGACAACAATCGGATTTCAAGGTTCATCCCCATCGAGCTGAGCATTAGAAAGCTTGCAATGTGCTTGAATATTCGCCGCTGTAGATGGTGTAGAAAACTTCGAATATTTTTTTCAAATGACGCTTGGTTTATTGCAACAAGGGGGTGCAAAATGTCTCTCGTGCACAACAAGTAAATACAGTTCTGCCATGTCACACCAATTTCACTTATTTTTAAAACCATTAAGTTTGAAATGAATTTTATACAATATCTCAAAATCGTATAACTAACTATCACAATGAGAATTGTTTAATGTAAAATCGATGTAATTAACCTTTACTACAATAGGTTTTTTTTGTCTTTGTAAGTGTCATCGTTATTTTTTCATGATTTCATTTGTTTCTAAGCATTAATTAATGTCATACATATCGTGTAAAGCGTATCTATCACCTATTTTGAGTTACGTGATCGTACCCATTACTAGCGTCAAAATGTAGGCTTTTCGAATATTGAGTTCTTAGGTTTTCGCGATTGCTACACATAGGGAATGAAACTATTTTTCCGGATTTAAATTACGCTTAAATTACGATTTAAACCCGGAAAAATAGTTTCATTTCCTATTTCAAATATTGTATGATATAAATTATAAATAGTTCCTATACCAAAGAAAAGTAAAAAGTTTAGTAATATTAATAAAACCGTTTGTAATAAATGAAACATAATTAAGATTCATAAAAATGGAAAGTAGTAAATATGGATCAAATGAATTTGGGCCTAATCATAAAAATGCAAGCAAAGTTTTGTCTTTCATTATCATTCCAAACGTAAATTATAACAATTTTGATGTCGTTAAATCCACTTTGGATAATAATTATATTTAGAAATTATTTAACATACTTACTTATTTATTTTATATAATTAAAATTAAAATATAAGAATTATATCAAGTAACTCGAATTGCGAGAGGTATGCGTATTATGGCAAACGCTTTGTTATTGTATTGCCTATTTCAATTAAGTTTAGATAAATGATCGCGTCGAAAAAAATCGCGTTATGATAGCATTAAATTAATGAGACACAAGCATTTGGCGTATACTATATCTTCGTAAATACATTTTACAAAAAAAATAACATTTTGTACTCTAATAAAGTAGACCGAAATAATTCAGTGAAGTCTTGATACGCGTAACTTACCTATCTTAAGATAATAGAGATGTGTGTGACACGGCAAAGTTTCCACAAGTACAAACACCTTTACTAGGTACACGTTCTAGTGATGTCGAAATACTATTTGCATCGATTGATCTTTTCGGTTTATCTTTAGAGTACAATAGGATAAAAGAGTGAGCCGTGCCATCTGTATAGTTCAAACAACTAGTCTAAACACTTTTACGCATTGGCACTACGTTACACTTGGTAATTTTTATGCGAAATTAACTTAGTAGGAAAAGCGTCGCCAGTCGGTATTTTACGAAGTACCTAGTAGCTTAAAAAAACGACCGGATATGGTACGAATTTGACCTCCATCTCACCGACGTCTAGTCCGCCGATGATGGAAATGAGAAGATTAAATCGTGTAATTCCATCGCATACTCTCCGCGATGTACCCTGTAAAATACCGATAAGCAAGCAACTTTACGGCGATGTTCAAAGCTCTGCAGCTTTGCCTCTACTAATTCCAAGCCAAAATCATTAAGTCCATGTACGCTTTACGTAAAAGAAGTGTTAATGGTTTTATTACCCTATTATAAAGGATAAGTCGCTCAAGAGATAACAAATCACGGCGCAAATAATATTTTTTCAACTATAACCATGTGATCCGGATCAGGGGGTCTACTCTCGATCTCCGTCCGAAACAATTACTGCCAAATAAGCAATACATGACCAAATGAAAAGACGCGTGATGTGAATGAAGCTTCATTCTGGATACTTGTCTTTTAATTTTGACGAATATTACTTATTTGACAGTAATTGTTTCGGACGGATGTCGGACGGGGATCGGGAGTAGATGAGTAAAATCGTCAGAGCGACGGGAATGAGATGTCAAAATAGTGGGAGTATTCGTAGTATTTTTATGTTTCTTTTTAACTCGTGAAATATGCCACGCCGACGCTTTGATAATGTCGTTTGGGTTTAAATCGGGTTAAAATCCATCAACGCCCAAAATCGAAGGCAAAAATTATTTACAACTAAATATTTGTTGGAAATCGATTATTTGTAAAATCGAATGTTATTATTACAAAATGTTTATTGCTTTCAGATCTTGACGATCCGATTTGCCTTTCTATTGAATCGATTTGCTTGAAAATCGCATTGAAACAAATCGATATAAAAATATCGTTAGATTGTATACACTTCCGATCTTTATAAAAAAAAAATGTGCATACTTAATAGTGAGAATCCATATAATTTTAAATTTTTGGTATACCAAATTCCGCAAAACCCAGGTGGGTTGAATGGATTTTAACCCAATGCCTATCTCTGTCTGGTGCTCATATAGCTCAAAGAATTTCTTAGTTAGATACCAGGCTGTTGTGATCGTCTGGCATATTATTACGATTCATTATCATGAAACTCTGCTATGTTTTCAAGTCATCAATATTGAATATTCTTTACAGGCGAATGCTCTCATGTGGGGACGCACCTTTATTATTATACACTCAATGTTCCGTGATGGTAGATGTGTAATTCGGTACAATATTCCATTTCGTGGTTCGCGGAATCTAATTCCTTCGAACTGCTTTTTTCTCTAATTACCTATGATGGGGCGTTCGGCAGACTTCTGTAAAGAAAGAACTTATTTAAATATTTACAATTTTTTGCTAATGAAAATACAGGCGCGTGGGAATTGATAACTCTATGTCTCATGGTGACGGGAGCACTGACACTGCCCCACTGATTGCTATAAGCAGCAGAAAAGAATGTGAAAGAATTACTTCTTTTGCCAAGCGGTAATGTGATCATTACTGTGTTCTGGTTTTGAAGGGCAAGGGTACTGATGCAATTACTGCCACATGGGACTTTTCAACTAATGTCTTTCAAGGTGACGGGCGCAATGGCCCCTCAGATCTTTGCAATTTAAAACTCTGAGCGGTACTGCGACTGTTACGGACAGGCGTGTAGCTTACCACCAGGCGCACGACTTGCTCGAACCGACACTTGATAGTATAAAAGAAAAAATTGGAATACAATATAACAACATTTATACGTCCCTCTGCTAAGCACGGGTCTCCTCTCAGGCGAGGGTTCGGCCATAGTCCGCCACGCTGGCCCAATGCGGGTCGGGGACTTCACAAGTTTTCCGAGGGTTGTGAATTTTAAATTAAATTTCACACATAAATTTTGAAAACTCAGAGGCGCGAGACTGGATTCGAACCCTCAACTTGGAAAAGAGACTCTAATAAATTATGACTTTTTATTTTTTAATAATGACCATAACATTTTGTGGAATTACATCTACGTGGTAAGTTTTATTTAAATCGATTTATCCCCTAATTTGCCACCCATAATGGTACAATATTTTTTTTAATTTGAATAGGACACTAGTGGTATCCCCTTTTCAAAAAAAAAAAAGAATCGTCGAACTCGGTTGACAAATTTTAATGCCGGAGTAATCACATACACACAAAAAAATGCAGTCAAATTGAGAATCTAATGCTTCTTTTGAAATCGGTTAAAAATAAATAAAATAAAATCAGCTTTGTGAATAAATCACAATAAAGAAAAAAAATAATTAAAGAAAACAAATATTAAAGAAAATGACATAACTATCCTAGATTCTCAACAGAGCATATTATAATAAGTCTGAGTGGTTACATAGGGCGGCTTTGAGCAGCGATGCAAAAGCGCGATTGCATCGATGCATTCGCATATAAATCCCGGAAAAAACCAGATTGCATAAATATCTTCTAACACGGTCCTAGTCTGCAACGTGTATATATATATTTATTAGTAAGTATAAGTTTATTCATGTAGGACGACAACACTAGGAGTTCGAGCGAGAAAGCATTTGTGAGAGGGAAGGAAGACGAATGGCGCGAGAAAGCATGAGACGTTTGCACGATTTTCCGTTTGAAAATATAAAATAACTAGTTTCCCCGTGAATTTGCTTTTATTTCGACCCACCACCCCACCTTTAGGTATATTTATATATACATATATTTATGTAGGTATAATATATCGTTATTTATTAAATATTTGATAAATTTGTTTTTTTTGTTTTTTGTATTTATTTTATTTATTTATTTTGCATTTTTTTTTCTACAATTTTTTTTATTTGTAAATATGGCACACTACGTCTCCCGCTCCGATTAGCTTTCCTCTAACTCAAAGATTGTCTACAAGAGATCGCTCTTAGCGATAAGACCGCCTTTGCCCGCATTAGTTTTGTTGTTTATGTACTATTCTTGTTTTTGTGTGTGAGCAATGAAGTGTTTATCTATCTGTCTATCTATCTATCTAAATCCCAAGTGTAATCCTAAATGCTAGCATCGCTGCTTAAAATTACGCGGGTGTGTAAAGTTATAGACGATTAGCGACAGTTGTCGCCGTGTATAAACGCTCTAAAACATTTATGTACAATACTTACTTCTTGGAACACTCTTAAGTGTAGATTTTGATATGCTATCACTGTCTTCAGACTCTGAACAAACTTGAAAACTGGTTTCTGAAATACAAATTATATATTATTTGGTAGAAATACTTATTTGCACATACACATGACCACATAAACATGTATGTCCCATTCACGCCCACGTGCTCTCGCACACACTCAAACTCACTCACTCGCATGCACACAAATACACGCACATACACACACATACACACACACACACATAGCGCCACGCGTGCACGCTTAAACACCGTCATACAAGTAAACACAAATTATTTTATATTTGACCTTTATCTTGAAAAATATTATGTTATTTAATTTAGTTTAATTTTTATATTATTGGCAGTATATTGTGTCAAATTAAATTTCAGAATACAATTAAATTCAATCAAACCATGAAATCAAACGAACCGACGGAGCCATAGATACAAAAGTTGAAGTTGAAGTTGCACCACGTACCAGATTCATGTGTCATTAGTAAATGTAAAACGATCTCTGCGACACAAGCCTGTGCTTAGTGCAGAGCCCGCAAGTAAAAATGCGAGATAACTTATAAATAATTACGCAGTTTACTATGGAACTTCAATAATCTATATTATTTATTAATGTGTTGAGATAATAAACGATTTATTATTATTATTAATATTATTTAGCTCAGTTTCCTGAGCGTACACTCTCCTTCCTATATTATTTTTAAACTTATGTAATACTAAAAAGTTGCCTCATCTGAATCAACCTGTATTTTTATGATGCCGATCGAAAGGGTCAAGAGTATCAACCCCCCAAGGAGCACACTTTATAAGCCTTAAAACTGTTATACCTATAAACAGTCTTAATATGGTATAGGTTTAGATAATAGTTCTCTATAAATGGTTTTAGAAAAAAGAAATTGTTCTTATAGACTTATTTCACTCAAGTCAAAATTTTAACACCTTCTTAATACCAAACATCTTAATTAAGTGTAATCTCTCTTAAGATTTACTCTTATAGTCGTCATTTTAAGTTCATCTGTAGAACACCTGATCCAGTAAAGTCTATTAATACTCTAAAAACTAGTGTTCTTAAGTTTATTCTAGATATATTTAATTTATAGACATTCTGTAGTGTTTGTACTTATTGACAAACACGTTATAGCGCGTCTTCAGTAGATTTTATTTAAAAAAATACTACAATTAGGGTTTTTACTCTTTTGGACGTTGTAAGAGTTCATGTAAAATGGATAAATTAAAGAATTTTAAAAGATCTGGTGGAGGTGGTAAACCTTGGATATTAAGTCACATTATTCGATACAATCAGCGTTGCCAATGCCAATTGTTCAAAATCTCCAAAAATCACTATATAATAATAATAATAACGTACACACTCAACATAGCCCCGCGCTAGGGAAAACCTGTGTCGCGGGTGCCATGGACACACACGTAGACAACCACAAATTAAATCCAAACTCACGAGAGAAATAAATGTAGGCCATACAAATATTTCTCCCGACCCGGGAATCGAACCTGGGACCTCTGCATAGCAGTCCGGCATGCTAACCGTTCGGTCACGGAGGCAGTTATATTAATTATAATATTAATTGGATTCAACATTAATATGTAATCAGTCTGAACAAAAAAATATTTTTTCTTTGGCTTACAAAATTAAGTAAATTTATTATTGTTTGTGAATTTGTTGACACTATGTTAACGTTAGAAATAATCAATGAGTTTCGACCTATATTTAATATATAAAGTTGACGAGTGGTAAGTTGTGGTGTGGAAGTACCAACTGCTCGGCTTTGTTTATCAATAGCTGATTTCGTTTTGCTTCATACCGGGGACCGTCCTAAGCGGGAGAAGGAATCGCGAACTCAACACGCACCGACTGGTAATTTTACAATTCAGAACAAAGTGCTCTAATAATAATTCTATTTAAGCTGCTTGTTAATAATACGAGAGATGTGCGATGTTGAAAAACACGTCGATATAGACCATCACAGTGTTTCTAACAGTAACGATCAAACTAACGATGCATCAGCAATTGATAGATTATGATAAAATGTTAGAATCCCCACATTTCCCTCACATAGGGCCAATCCCCACAAAATCCCCAACCTAGTTGAAACTCCCCACAATTTGGGGAATTCCCTACAAATTGGCAACGCTGGATACAATAGTCGTAATTCGCGCTCGGGCCGGTCATGGCCGGCATTTGTTTGCTGACAAATAAATAAACATTGTGAAGTAATTCCGTGTTGTGAAATGATAAAAACAATTGAAATGAGCGCGTAAACTACTGTACTTCAATGTTGTGTATGTGTATTGTGCCGTCTATTAATAGACTACAGTGAAAACATTGTGTGAAATGTGGTTGGCGTGAAAAAATAACCTCAATTTTGTAATGAAAATTTTATTTCTTCCAACATTAGTTAGTTATGTCATTAAAATGTTCCTTATATTTATATGATAGAAAATTTATCCACCTTTCTAGTCATATTGTAACACATTCCATATAATTATTCAGAATAAGGTTTTATTTGCGACAAATTGGATTTTTTCAATTGTTTTTTTGACCTAGTGTTTTGAAAAGTTTTTTCTTGCATAATACTCTCAATATTTGCTAACTTTATAAAGGTTTTGTAATGCTGTCAAAAGAACAAATCGCTTAGAAACATCGCGTTTTGTAGACAATCATAAGAACTTCATAGGAGGAATATTCTTCTACAAGTTCAACTACACTAAAGCAAGTAAAAATAATCTTTTCGTATTCTGAAGTTTTTCTATAGATAAAACTATAGACAAAATGCTCCAACTGTGTTTTGAAAAAAGCTTTAAATTCTTATCGCCATTTTTATTTTTAAAGAATGACTATGAAGTAGCCGAGAAAAATTTCTTTTCTTTTTAAAAAGTAAATCTAAGTTGAAAAAGCCTAGAACTTCTTGGAAATGGTTTGTTTTGTGAGTTATTTTGTATATTTAAGCTTTCTATAAATATTTAAAACCGAAAATCGATAACTGTATTTTTATTAAGTTTATATTTTATACATAAATATATAAAATTTAGCGAGCGCATTACTTTTATGGCAGGTTTTACATCACTTTTCACAAGGTATTTAAAGTCGCACGCCAATTTGCGCTCTCTAACCGATTAAATATTGCGCGAAAAAGTCAGAAATATTATATCTAATTTCGTCATGTTGCAATTTTGATAGTTTATATTTTGTAAGTCATTAAACTTGAAATCTATTAGTATTAAGAGAATTGCGTCTTGTGTTTGTAACGCTTTAGTTACTTTGGTTTTAAAATAGCATTACTAAGAAAACTATCATAGACTATAAATTATCTAAAAACTGTCTACAAGACTAAATAAATACTGTCTACATTCTACAAATAGTCTAGTAGCATTCTAGAAGGGTTACTTGAGAAAAAAGATAAGAGTCACTCTTAACACTACCTACAGATAGTTTCTCAAAGCACTCTTGTGATCTACTAATAAAGTTGTGCCCACTTTTGCTTTAAATTATCTAGAAAACTTCTTCGAGATATCTTGAGTGAATTTGAACTCTTAAAATATTCAATCGAATTAAATTCTATTAGATATCTTATAGTACATATAGATATGCGTGTGCTGCTTGGGCGTACCTGTGTCATATCTCTTATGTCGAGTGGGCAAATCTTGATTTTCAACATGTCCAAATGTCCTGAAGCCCACGGCGAACTGCGCGTATGGACTTATTTCGTACAGTTCTGTAAAAATAATCAGTTTAATCTCATAATTGCATTACTTTACTCAATGAAATCGGTTATCCTTTTGGATATAATACGAAAGGCCTAAAAAAAATGTTGGACACTAACACGAAATACTGTGTTGCTCGTATTCGTGTCCAATAATACTTTTAGAAAAATGTTTTTGCATAACATTGTAAAAATACCCAGTTTTTGACCACTGGTATGAGAACACCTTTATTAACATAACTATGTCAAAACTCTTGACAGCGAACCATAAACTTCGCCATGCAGCTTACATTTTGATAACTTTGCCTCACGCGGCATTAATAGAACGTGATTGGAAAACCTGATTTAATAGTAATCGTTGATTCGGTATTTGAGTCGGTCAGAGTAAATAGAATACAGGTAAGAATTGTCCATAAAGTATGGCCCACCTAATACCTGTGATGTATGCCTTGGTATACTGGATGATATCATGAACTCTGCCGAAAATCAGTTCGTGTAATGCCAAGCCGATTCACATTGAAACACAAAAAAGAAAACAAATTAAGATGACTACTCATGGACTACTCGTACAAACGGAGTTTGATACTACGTGACGCGCACTGTAAGTTTCCGGAATGAATAAGAAAAAAAATAATATAAATGGTCAGAAATGAATTTATTGTTTCTCAAAATATTCTCTGTTAGCGTTAATGCACTTTTTCATACGAATGAACCAATTTTGAAAACATTTATGCCACTCCTCCGTGACAATCCCTGAACATATTTTTCATACTCTTCGACAGCCTCTTCAGGTGATAAAAATCGCTGACCGCGTAACTGGTACTTAATTTTTGAAATTAAATAAAAGTCACAAGGTGCCAAGTCAGGACTGTACGCGGGATGGCTCATAAGGTCAACGTTGTTCATCTTCAAAAATTCATTTGTCTGTCTGGCCGTGTGAGAACTGGCATTATCGTGGTGCAAGATGATACAGCGTTTACGGTTATTTTTACTGAGTTTGTCCATAACTTCCGGCAAACAAATGGTCGTGTACCAATCACTATTCACGGTACAACAATTCTCCAAAGCAATAGTCGCCACGTGTCCAGTTTTATTAAAAAAAGAAGCAATCATCCACTTAGAGGCACTTAGCATGCGCGCCACTTTGGTTGGTTTCGGCTCATCTCGAAAGACTCATACGCTCGATTGTTGCTTTGTTTTGGTATCGTAACTATAAATCCATGTTTCGTCTACGTCGTACTATGTCGCACACCAAATTTGACGCCCCTTCGTTGAATCTAGTAAGCATGGCATTGCACCTAGTGACGAGATCCGTTTTTTGAGCCTCAGTCAAATTGTGTGGGATCCACCGAGAGCACAGCTTTTTCACACCCAAATGTAGTATTTAACTCATGCCTATGTCTAAAGATGCCCCAATCTCATGGTATGTCACACGCCTGTCTGTTTTGATCATACGGCGCATAGCATCGATGTTTTTGTTGTTCACAGCAGTGGACGGGCGACCATCACGAAATTCGTCACTGAGATTCACACGGCTGCGTTTGAATTCTGCAAACTAGCTACAAATAGTCGTCTTGCATGGTGCTTCATCGCCAAAAGCAGTTTGAAGCCGAGTCAAGCTCCGCTGAGCTGTTAAATGACACTTAAACTCGTAGAAAATCATACTATGAAAATTTTCACGATTTAAATCCATGGTGATGTAGACAACCAATTTCTAAAATGACGCCACAATGTAAAAACAAGTGACAGTCAGATGAAACAAGCTGTATTCTACAGCCAAAGAGTTCCATTTTCAAATGTTGTAATTACTTTTGAAATATTGTTTGTGTAAGTGGCCAGTTCCGGAAACTTATAGTGCACCCTATGTATTTTAGGCTTAATAAAATTTTCAATCCCGACCACATCTGACAACCTTGGGCTTTCACATGTACAGTCGTCGTCGACATTTTCCTACTAAATGAAACAAGCGAAAAAACTCGAACTTTTTGACCGAAAAGTGTCCAGTATCATATTATATATTAATACAGTTATACATATATTATTATATTTATTAATTTCTGGAACATTTTGACCCTAGGGAAATAAGTGAAATAGTAAAATTGTGCTTAGAACTGTTTGCTTAGCCAATTTGTTTTTGTTAATGACGGGTTTAAATCGAGTTAAAACCCATTAAAGCTCGAAATCGAGGGCAAAAACTACTGGCAACTAAACTTTTACCTTACCTATTTCTACCGCCAAGCAGTAATATCAGCATACTGTGTTTCGGTTTTGAAGGGTAAGCGTGCTCATGAAATTACAGGCATATGAGACTTGTCAACTTATGTCTCACGGTGACAGGTGCAGCGGCAGTGCCCCTCAGATTTTTGCGATTTACAGCTCTGAGTGGTACTGCAACTGTTATGGACAGACGTGTAGCTTACCACCAGGCGCACGCCTTGTTTGGCCCGTCACTTGATATTATAAAAAAAAGCCTTATTATATTTTGTTCAAATGTAATGATGTAGAGAATTCGATTTCGCTTGAAAATCGCATTAAAATAAATCGATACAAAAATCGTCAAATCGTATGCAATTGAATCGATTTTCGTTTATACATCGGGATTTTCAAAAATATAAAATTATACCAAATTCCATATTCGTCTATTCGGCCCACGCTTTTGGGCAGAAATGGATTAAAACTAGGCTCTTTGGGTAAAAACCCGGGCGGTTTGATTGGGTTTTAACCCGCAGTGTCATCTATGAATAGCAACAACATTATCGACACCGTCCTTTTATTAATAATGGTACGTTACTAACCATGCTTACTATTATTCCTCATATGAACGGGTGCGCTATATATCCTGCTCTGCTGGTTCATAGCTTGAGCGTTTATATTCTCCTTAATATTGGCAATATTGCTGTGTGACGTGTTCGCCGTTAGGTTGCCACTCTCTGACTTGTTGGCTATAGCTATTGAGTCTCTGTATTCGGGGTCGCTGTTACTGTAAAAAGTAAATAAGTATAAAATTAGTTAATAAATAATAAAGTTAGTTCAAGTTTATGTCTCTTAAAGGGTTCTCGCTATATAACTGTGTGTTGGATAATTTTCCGAAAAATTTGAAATATACCGGAAATTTTTCAGAATTATTTCTGAAATTTTTTTATGAAAAATCATTCTATTAAATTTGACTAACTCCTGCTGTCCCGATTTTTTTCGTCCAATACAATGAAATGATCCTCACAAAAACCTGAGTCGATCAGCACTAAAAAAAAATTTCATTAATTTTTGTTCATTTTTATAGACCTCACGCTTGACCAAAAAATTGACTGCCAAAATTGTTTTCACAAAAAAAACTTAATAGTTCCTAAGACAGTTTCCTTGTATACTCCAGATTTCCACATACTGTCCCATTAATTACCTTTGCCTCTTAATTATAATGTAGATACTGCATAGCACACAAGCAGCCAATAGAATTGAGCTGCACATGATGACCAACGTATTGAGGTCTAGAGATTCTGACGGTGGACCGACTTCGCCTGTAATAGAAAAAAGAGTAATGTTTTCGGGTCGTGGGATTCTATAGACAGGAGAAGACAATGCAATCTTGATTATAATAATAACAAATGCAGAAGGTTCTGCTCGATATAGCACGTATTGTTTGCTGGTTCTTGAAGCCGAGTCGCTGACCTCAGCCGAATATGCCATAAGCTGGGAATACCACCTCTCTAATTTAAAAATTCAAAATTAATCTTTTAGGTCACGAGGGAGATGACAGTCTATGACTTTTTGAAAAAAGGAAAAACCGACCTCAAAAGTTCGTAGAATCACAACTATTTGCTAAGTTTTGTTTTGAAACGCGTTACCGGAGAGTATGCGAAACCGGATCCATCAACTAGTTTGCCACTCTTAGAGATGGAATATTTTCTTTAAATTAAAATGGGACCAATATTATTGAGATACCAATGATCAATCTTTCTAACAAAAAAGAATCATCAAAATCGGTTCAGACAAAAAGAAACACAAAAATTAAAAAAACGGACGAATTAAGAACCTTCTCCTTTTTTGAAGTCGGTTAAAAAATAGGTATCCAAAATAATAATAATGTGCCAGACACACTAATTAATAACCTGGTCTCAAGATACGTAATTCCTTGTCCTATGAGTACTGTGGCACTACCCAGAATATCCAGATCAGAACCAATTTAGTTAAATGTTCATTTCTCAAATATGAATTTACCGGGTATCAAAGTCAGGTTCTACTAAGGCATTCACAGTGCAAATCGCGATCATTAAATATAATGACTACTTGCACACAGGTACCTCTTACTCCGGTACCTATCTGGAAAATGGGGAGGGTGCTGTATGTGCGTCCAGGGTGGCTCACCTAAGGCACTAGCCTTACAAAGAACCGGATAAAGTTCGTGCAAGCGTCCTGATCCGGGGTTAGGACTTGACTTAGATGGTCCCTGTGCGGGTTCGCTCGCACAGGTCGTAGAGCCCTTCTCGTATACCCTAAGGGTCGGTAGGAAGGGTCACTATAATCAAAACAATGTAGAAAGATATGGGGATGTACATTTAATCAGTATCTTCTACGGTGCAACAGTATCTTCTATGAGATTATTTATTTACATTCGCTGGTACTTACTACCATCCTCATTCTTCGTAGCATAACTATAAGTAGAGGTAACACTGCCAGCTTCATTGATTGCAGATATTCTTAGCTGGTACCACGTTCCAGGCGAGAGTTCACAGATCGCCACCGAGTTGGGATACGTCTTCGCTTGGTACAGGGGCGAGAGACTCCAGGATGGCACATCCGAGAATGACTGAAGATTTAATTTGTTGAGAGGTATTATTATCTTAACAGATACATAGAGTTTACTCAAGTACGTCCGGGTACTGGTTTTATTACATTGCGTATTAAGGACTTTAAATAAGAAATCAATAACGAGAGACTATTAGAAGCCCGAAGCCAAAGGCTGAGGGCTTTCATAACTCGAGTTTTGTATTCTTTACAATGTTTTTCATCAAATTTGCGAGGAAATAAATGCAATGTTTATTTCTTGTATGAATAAATAAATAATGGCGGAGTTTTTGTTTTATTTTTTATCAACAGATTTTATGGCCAGCTAGCAATTCTTCTATAAATAATAGAACTCGAACTAAAATGTTTTAAAAAGCAAAGACGCATATAGCCATGATAGAACGTAAAAGAAAATAGCAAAATTATTATACAGAAAATAATTAAAATCAATTATAAGAAATTTAAAAAAATAAGTATTTGAGTAGTATGTGGCTGAATTGCAATTAAATTTTGTTTAGATAACATTTTAGGCAATGTTTTAATTTTGAACTTATGTAACCTCTTTGCATGAACTTGAATCTGATCTATGTAAGGAAGTATGTCGTGCTACACATTAAAAATCTCCTTACCTACCATGGCTGTAATGGAAAGAAAAAAGCCCCGAGATTTTATTTGGGGCATTATTTTCAAGTTAGCCACCATGCAATCATACTATTACAAGTTCGATGAAAAGAATCTTATATCACGGTTTACTAGCTTGCTTCTACTACCTCTTCTATAAGGGGATTTGCCATTGACGAGACTACCAATAATTTATATATTAGGATCATTGACTTACAAATAAATGGACGACGGGTCTAATACAAAGATCACGAAAAAAATGTCCCAAGTCAACCTATTTAAACGTAGTGACATGTAAAGGAATATGAAACAGCTAAAACGTTGAATTTAAATTGTAATGTCATCACTGTCTAATTTTGCTTGCGTCGCTGTCAGTCGAACAAACGAAGACTAAAGCGTGAATGACGCTCTGTATACGATTTTAACGCCCTATAAGTTCGGACACTTTTTAGCGCGGACCCGACGTCCATATAATTGTAAGTCAATGATTAGGATATATTATCACGGTGTGCGCGCGATGGAATTGCACGATTTAATTCCGCCTGCCCCTTTCCATAATCGGGAGATTAGACTTAGGCTGGGGTTCTACCCCTAAGTTGTGGATATTCCAAGGATTCGTCCAAGTTACATCACACACACACGTTCACATTTATATGGCGAACGGCTATGGAGTGGAATTATCTGCCTGTAGACTTATTTCCTGAACGCAATAACTTTTCAAGACGAGAGTGAATATACGTCATTTAGGTTTTCATGCTCTATTGTTCATGTTCATCGTCACTTTTCGTCAGGTGAGATGGAGGTCAAATGCGCATCAAGTTTTATTTATAAAAAAATTATCATTTCGCACCATTGACTTACAAATAAATGGACGACGGGTCTAATACAAAAACCACGAAAAAAATGTCCCAAGTCAACCTATTTAAACGTAGTGACATGTAAAGGAATATGAAAAAGCTAAAACGTTGAATTTAAATTGTAATGTCATCGCAGTACTGTCTAATTTTGCTTGCTTCGCTGTCAGTCGAACAAATGAAGACTAAAGCGTGAATGACGCTCTGTATACGATTTTAACGCCCTATAAGTTCGGACACTTTTTAGCGCGGACCCGACGTCCATATAATTGTACGTCAATGTTTCGCACCCTTAATGGAGCAATGGCATAATGTGAAGTTACGTCAAAAACATCTATGACTCCATTAGATACAGAAAAATATAACTTACATACTCTATAAGTTTTGTAACTCTATCGACAATATTAGTCGATAGAGTTACAAAAACTAATTTATGTATTTTTTATATTTTTCTGTATCCAATGGAGCAATAAACATGTTTGGCGTAACTTCAATTATGACATTCTTCCATGAGGGGCGCGATTTGTCTGCTACAAGATCTTGTAGAACCTTACCATAGTGCTAGGTACCCGTATCCAACTTCTGCTTCCTAATACCCTGTACTCAACTTCGAAGGCTCTCAGTTCGCAGCCCCCATCGTCCCATCCAGCCAGTTGGACGTAGATGTGGGAGCAGTTGCTCCACAACCAGTCGTTTGTTGTTGGTGAAATTGGTACTGCAATTTAAAGTAAACATTAACGATCACCCCTCACGGAAGAATGGCGTAAGCTGAGTTAGGTCAAAAACGTTTATTGTTCTATTAGATACAGAGAAATATAACCCACATCCTCTCCAATTCTTGTAACTCTATCTACAATATTAGTCGACAGAGTTACACGAATTGGAGAGGATGTGGGTTGTATTTTTCTGTATCTGATGGAGTAATAAACATTTTTGACCTAACTCTACTTACGCCATTCTTCCATGAGGGACTTTTCTAACGGAGGTTATAACGTAGATTTTTAAAGTCAGTATCATCAGGTACCTTTTAGGCAAAAGCACGTACTGACGGCAGTACATCAAGCTACACATATTGTGGTCCGTTACGCTGTAGGCTATAAAAAGTGTATAGTTTGATGAGCTGTTGACTGTACCATCACCAGGTAACATTGTGGGCAGACGCAAGTACATCTCAAATAAGTAGCAGTAGGGCTCCTTGTGAAAGAGTTCGTCCAGGGTGGTATTGCCACCTTATCGATTTCTGCCGCCAAACAGTAATGTCAGCATTACTGTGTTCCGATTTTGAAGGGTAAGGGTGCTGGTGAAATTATAGGCACGTGGGACTTGTCAACTTATGTCTCAGGGTGACGGGCGCAGTGGTAGTGCCCCACAGATCTTTGCAATTTAAAGCTCTAAGTGGCACTGTAACTGTTATGGACAGGCGAGTAGCTTACCATCAGGTTCACGACTTGTTTGTCGCGTCATTTGATGTTATAAAAAAAGTGAAATAGAAAATAATAGCAGAGCAAGTAAATTTACTAAGGGGTGACACCAGGATGTAGACACCATTTTGCATGGATTTTTCATCCGAATGACGAACAGTGAATAGCTGTAATGAGTTCAAGGAGCTGGCTATCAACCGTGAGGCGTGGAGGAGGCTAGACAGACAAGACAACTATTTATGTGTAAAACGGGAAGAGTGTTAAACTATTTTTTTTCGTGTTAGTATAAAGACAGAGCGGAGAGGAAGCGAGTGTGATTGGAAGTACTAATATGTACCTCAGTATTGGTGTAATGCAGATTGGAAGAAAATATTTTATAAACTAGGAGATGAATTCACTTTCCCGTTAAAGTATTCAATAAAACTTGGCAAATACTCAGATGTAATTCTACGAACTTTTGAGGTCGGTTTGCTTTATAATTATTTATTTATTTCCTTTTTGATGACAAACAGTTTGTATCACAATGTATTAGAAACTATATTAAATAATTATAAGCAAAAACAGTTTCCCACTGATAAAAGATAATAGCAAAATGCAGCGTTGACAACACTAAACAACTAAACGACATATGACACATTATAGAAGCAATGTAACATTACACAAATTAGATTACTTTTTAGTAATAAAAAATGAATTAGATAATACCTCCTTAACGTACGCACAGTTTATGTTAAACAAATCAAAATCGTAAAGAGCAGAGACTTTCCGACGGGATCGAAGGAATTTTTTCTGAGTGTTCGATCTTTGTATTAATAATTATATCAAACTAGTGGAGTAATTTCACAGAATAGAATTCAATATCAATTCAATAATAATTTAACTGCCTCCGTGGTCGAACGGTTACCATGCCGGACTGCCACGCAGAGGTCCCAGGTTCAATTCCCGGGCCGGGAGAAATAGTTGTATGGCCTACAATTATTTCTCTCGTGAGTTTGGGTGTAATTTGTGGTTGTCTATGTGTGTGTCCATGGCACCCGCGACACAGGGTTTCCCTAGTGCGGGGCTATGTTGAGTGTGTGCGTTATTATTATTATTAAAATTAAAGCAGAAACTTTGTTAAAATTATTGCTCGCACGCCATATAAACGAATTTCGTTTGTGATATTGTAAAGCGACAGGTAAATGAATAAGTGACTCGTTACGTAAATGCTTAGCTGGAACCCTTAAGTGAATCTCAGACAGAAGCTCGGGGCAATCGACGATATTGGTGGTAATTTTAATGAGATAGTTTGTGTCTCCTATTTTACGCCGCAATTTAAGGGGTAGTATATGAAGTTTCTTGCAGATATCTAAATAGTTTGAAGAGCGGTTAGGCTGATTAATTTTAAAACATAAGCAACGAATAAATTTTTGCTGAATTCGTTCAATACGCGAAATATAGATGTTATACATTGGGTTCCAGATCTGAGAGGCATACTCCAAGTTGTGACGCACAAGGGCACAGTATAAGATTTTTAGTGTTTTGGCATCTTGAAAATCAACCGAACTACGCATCACGAATATAAAAATATAATTACATATAATATAATTATATAAAAAAGTTATAATTATGATAAATGTATTCGTAAGTATACTATAGTTTCGTGGTTGTGAGTTTAACCTCGCCAACAAACAGTTTTCGCAGGTGGGCCAGAAATTGTATTATGGTTTCTTGTATACCTTTTATATGAAATAAATAAATAATTAGTACAAAGTACTAAAAAACCGACCGCAAAAGTTCGTGGTATTACATCTATTTGCCAAGTTTTATTGAAATCGGTTACCGGAAAGTGCGCGAAACCGGATTCATCCCCTAGTTTGCCACAGTGGCGAAATATTAAAATTTAAATGACCACTACTGAGGTACCCCTTGCCAACAAAAAAGAATCATCAAGATCGGTTCACAAATGCCAAATATATCACGTAAGATACGTACGAAAAAAAACGTGCAGTCGACTTGGAAATCTCCTTTTTTTGAAGTTGGTTAAAAATAAAACAACGTGTCTTTAACAAATTCGTAAGCTACCTACCTCCACCTAAAGTATTGACATCTAGATACGCAGGCTGTGAAGTCCCGACCTTATTTGTAGCAGTGATTCTCAAAGAATACTTGGTACCACACTTAAGTCCCGTTAGGGCATGTCTTTGGACAGATAAATTTGGTAGCTTGGTGTTTGGCCAGGCTTCTTGCCAGGGCCCGTTTGCTTCCTTCCATGTGAGGCTGTAACCTAAAAGATAATGTTGATTACTTTGTAGACTACATCTGTACTGTTGTTTATATCTTGAAGCGCACCTTCCGCTAAGACAGTTTATGATTTCCGAATGTTCCAGACGTTTTTAATAGTAAGGTGGTGGAGCCAGTGGTCGACAAACACCATTGTTCGACATTTAAAAAAAATTAATTTGTAATAAATTTAGAACTTAATTTTTTATTATAGTAACACGTTTCGATCGAAGGATTTTTTCTTTGTGTTTGATCTATGTATTAATAATTATAACAAACTAGGTGTGCTAATTTCATAATAATAATTTAATATCATGGTGATCTAACATGGTGGTGTAACAACTTAAAAAACATACAATTTATTAAAAGCGTCACCTTTAGTCAGCTGCTGGTAGCTGTAAAGGTACCTGACTGAGTGAAGTACTAAATTTCTCACAGATGGAGCAACGGGAAATAACAACGATCCATGTGGCTACCTAGTTTAAAAAATACGTTAAGTACTGCTGATGATAGTCGAAGGAACGGTTACCCGAACCGTGGCAGTGAGATGTCTAGCCGCAGGAAATCGCATCGCAGTAATTCGCGTTGCAGTATTCTGCGTTGCGAATGCGCATCGCGCCGATTCGTAGTTTTGTGTTTCGACCCTTAGTTGGCATAGCGTCTGGCAATGTTTGCTGGAAGACGTTGCTTCGAATCCAGCCGGATCGAAAGAATTTTTTCTTAGTGTTCAATCTTTATATCAAAAATTATAACAAAGTAGTGGAGCAATGTTCCAAAAAAAATTGAATATAATGCTGGTGAAACATTCTGACATTTAATAAAAAATTAATTACAGTTAATAGCGATACGACATCTCTAGCCAGGGCTGGTAGCTGTAAAGGTGCCTAACTGAGTGACGAAATACTTTCATACATTTCTCATAGATGGCGCTACGGCTAAAAAGTCGTTGAAAACCAACTACAAAGACCCTACAACAAGCAAATAGAAAAATTCGTAAGGTCCGCTGGTTCGTTCCCTGGCTCAGCTATGGTCAATCCTCGCGACATTCAATAAACTTAAAAAATAATAATACTATAGATAACTTACTGATTTTCTGACTCAAGCTCTTATTAACAGAGTAATAAGGTTGTTCCCATTCCACCAATATTGAATCCTTGTAAGGAGTAGCTCTTAGTATTGGTGCATCAGGCAAAGGCAGCACAATGACTGAGTATTCTACTGAATCTGAGCCGTATAGGTTTTTTGCTAGGCAGCTGTAGTTTCCGCTTAACGATTGGTCAATATCTGAAATAATACAAAAATAAATAAAAGTCAATTTAATGTTTGAAAACAATATTGAATACT